TTTCACTTTTACATTGATCTCATTGTACCTATACAATATTTTGTGCAACACTTGAAAATGTTTTACAATTAGAGGACACCCTTCCCAGTTTCCTGAACATTTATTTTAGCAGTAGGGAGTACTTAAATTTAGAGTTTTTAGTTTTCATTTGAATTTGAAGTTAACAGTTCAGTTAAAATAATAGATCATAACAAAATAAAATCTAACATTTAATAAAATAATACTTATGAACAGGCCAGGTATTCTGCAGTACACTTTGTGTGAAACCTCATTGTATCAACATAAATAGTCTTTGAGTCAATTACAGATTACAAAACCAAATTTGAACCCAGTTTTGTTTGACTGCAGAGCCCACATTTTTTTTTTTTTTTTAAGATTTGTTTATTTATTTGACAGACAGAGATCACAAGCTGGCAGAGAGGCAGGCAGAGAGAGAGGGGGAAGCAGGCTCCTGGCCAAGCAGAAAGCCTGATGTGGGGCTCGATCCCAGCACCCTGGGAATCACGACTTGCGCCGAAGGCAGAGGCTTTAACCCACAGAGCCACCCAGGTGCCCCGCAGAGCCCACATTCTTAACTAGTGGTTGACAAACTTTTTAAAAAGGGCTAGATAGGAAATAGTTTCGGCTCTGGGCCATATGGTCTTTGTCACAATGATTCAACTCTGCTGTTGTATCAAGAAAGCAATCTCCATAATATGTAAATGATGGGCATAGCTGTATTTCAATAAAATTTGATTTACCAAAAAAGTAGTGTGCCTGCAGCCCATAATGTGCCACCCTGTGCTCTTAACCCACACACCACACTGCCCTACTTCTTCTTCAAAGCCATCCGATTGCCATATTAGATCAATTTCTTCTGCTTCTGGACTTCTACCATAGTAGCTATTGTAATACCAGTCCTAAGTCACATATCCTTGTTTTTATAATGTCTTCTTTTGTTAACTGTATTGACAAAAGATTATGCCAAGGAGTAAGTGACTTTATACATTTTATCTCTATTATGCACCCAACCCCATATCACAGATTGTAAAAGTAGTATAGAAATGTATATTTCACCATATCTGTAGAATTTTGATAAAGCCACTCACCTGAAATCACATGATAGAAATGTAAAAATTGAAAAACAAGATGTTGATATGTAAAAGTAGACAACTGTAATACAACCGAGATTCTATGGTAAACATCTTTGATCATGAGGCTTTTTTAATGTAGAAAAACTATGTATTTGTTTCCATTTTCTTAGTTTCTACTTTTTCCTCAGACTTCCCAACCCCAAGGAATCATAGTTTATCAAAACTGTAAATCGAAGATGTGTCCTTGTTAGAATTAGTCAAAATTTAGGTAGTAATTACTGTATGGATGTTGATAATAATTTTCACATTTTAAGGAATGAGTAATAACAATAAATTCCAGGATTAAAATTTTTTAGGGTGAACTCCTTTCTATGAAACAATGGCTTATTTTGCTTTTTCAGGTAGCTAAACAAATCTTCTTTAAAAAGAACCTAATATTCAATTGTTCTTTCATTTGTTCTCAAATGTAGGCTACATGGAGATTCTTTGATACCCTGAGGATTAAGGTAGTTTAAAGTAGACAGAATCATCATTTCAGGTGTTATTATGCCTGTAATAAAAAGTTTTGGACTAGTATTAAATGTGGTATGGGCCAGATGACCTTTAACCAGAGATACCAGCAGTCTCTGAAGAATGCCTTTGCCCAGAGACTTGAAGTTTGGTAGTCATAGATGTAAAAACTTGAGTGTAAGAAGGTTAGCATTTTCTAACCTGGGGGAAAAAATAAACATGAGGCAGAGTCAGTTAGAATGACAAGAAATATAATTTAAAGTTAACATGGTTTTATTTTTCAGACAACAGCGGAAACTATTAACTGGTTACCCCCTAATCATTCTCAAACCACTGTTCTCCTGCTTTATCCACCATAAAGGCCAAAAGTTCTTGATACCTCGGCCTCTCTTAAATAAGCTAGGGCCATCCGCATGCTAGGGGCCAGCCAGCAGGTCCACAGTAGACATTTGCAAGAGGAAGATGTTGGGAAAGCTATTATTTCCTGATTAAAAGAAACACTCAAAAGACATACAGCAATTCCTATTCTTCCTGCCCTGAACTAGAATATGATATCTGGATCAGCAGGAATATCCATCTTGCAGCCAGCACAAGAAAGAGTATGAGGACACAAGCCTTATAACACTGAGCCTCCAAACAAAAAGTAAACAACTACTTCTTGTTCTAGAATGATAAATCCCTATTGTTTTATGTTCTTGTACATAAAACTTAAAACTGAAAGCATTTCTAATTGACATATACTATAAAACTGTTTTTTAAAATTGTCAACTACTTTTGGGCCATGAGTAAAAATTTGCCTTTTCAGATAATCTTGATAGTAAGATTTCTTCTCCTTCAAAATGTTTAACTTTATATTAGTAATTATTAGCTAAATCTCCTGTTATAATAAAAAATGAATAGTTATTATTAGCCCTTTATGATTCTAGGTTATTAGCATTTTATTTTTAATATAATTTCTAAAAGTTCCCTGACTTAGCAAAACCAAAAATAAGGATATTGATATTATCAAAATTTTATCCAGTATTATATGTCAAATGATTTAGGATATAAGATATAATTTAACCTGCTTTGAACATAGAACAAGTAATTTAATATCTATAAACAATTTAGGATACTTTGTACAGGTTTCTTAACTGGAAGACTGACTATATCTAAAAAAAATTAATTGCTTCAATGATTTTTAGATTGCTTTATGAAGTATACAACAATTAAACAAATAGCAAAATTATATATCATAATACAATATTTATAGCACACTAGTAAAATATGGAAAAAATAAAGTTTATTAACTCTTCAAGTGACATAGGGTTAAAGACCTCAAATAAAACTAGTTAGTTTTTCAAAATTTAGGTCATCAGGAAGATGATGGAAGCAATCCGATGTGGGCAACATATCAAAAATATTCCACTGAGCTGTTTTGGGCCCATTCAAAAGAAGCAAGGATGCTAGGGAAATGGGCTTTGAGTTGTTAGGTACTCATTCAATTGCTAGATTGTGCAATAGATAACACTTTGTGACACTTGAGTTACTGTTATTGAAAACTCTGGTATGAGATATATCTGAGAAAAACAGTATAATTGGGAAAATGAGATTATCAAAATAAATTCTATCTGCCTTCTTTCCCACACTAAATTAGGAGCTGTGAGGAGCTCAGAAGGCTCCTTTTCTAGCAGAACCAGGAGGAGGTCCTGAAACAGGGGCTGGAGCCGGAGGTACCATTCTGCCATTACGATGTACAGAAGGCTAGCACTGTGCACTGTTAATGCCAAATCTCAGAATTCATCCCTTGCCCATGCTCACTCAAAGATGACAAATACCTGTATAATTTGGGATTAAGAAGCCTGAATCAGGCCTTCCAATGTAACCATTTCATTAAATGCTGAACATCTAAGACCAGTTAAATTTTAGTTAAGATAAAGCCTCATATTACATTTATCTGTTTTTCCCTAAATCTCTATTTCTGTGTCAAGGAAAAAAACAGTCGTAGAAAGTGTGTATATGAATGTGCAGGGAATGTTACTTAAAAGTACATCTTTAAGTCAGCAAAATTTTAGGGGCAAAGAGGACCAAATTCCAAAAGGCATACAATTAATAAATTTATATTTAAGGTACATTCATATGCAAGGTTGCAATTAATAGTGATGTTTGCTCTATTCATTCACAAAGTCAAAGAGTAGACACCAATATTTATATTTAGCTCAATATAAGCAAGTGTTGTGGGCAGAGGGCTGCATTGGGTGTTAAAACAGATGTCTATGAAAAATTCACTCTTCTAGTTGTACTTGTTTGTGAAAAATGGCAAATGATGTTTCATTACAGATTGTCAAATATTTAAAATCTGTTACCAAGTATAGACTTTATATAAGGCTCTTAAATAGAAAGGTAAACGAAACTCAGTTCTGAAGTCACTAAGCATCTGGTGAGGAAGACAGTTATGAATTCAGCTAACTCTAAAACAAGACACAATGCTAAGCATGAAGAATAATGCTAAAGAACATGAAGAAGGAAGGTTAATCAATCACCAATTCTAAGCCACTCTGTATCTATTTGCATGCTGGAAAGACGTTAAAAAGCAAAGAAAAGGCAGTTAAATATCTGCTATTATTAAATACTACTAAAAAACTATCTATAATTAACTCAAATTCTCCAGGTCTTATAATAATGAAAGGAAAATAACATTTGAATTCTTCATGCTAACACTAATCAGATTAATTTGGTTTTGGAAGGTTGAACGCAAAAGATAATAAATGCCCAAGCTTAAACACAGTTCTACTTCCTTCTTTTTTTTTTTCTTTCTTTTAAGAAATGATCAGAAAAATAGAAGAACAAATTTAGCTTTTATGGAATGAAATATGTGTTTCATGAGTAAGCTTCAACAAAGGTATCTTATTTAGGTAAAATGATGTTGAGCCATAGGCTTCCGTGGCTAGAAAACACAGACCTTGTTTGACACCAGTGGGAGAGCCCTTTCCCCTCATCCATATTCCCTATCTGTGGAATGAATTTAGAAATGTTGGCACAGAAAACTATAGATCAGTCTTCTTAGTCCACACCATCTAAATAAAATTGGGCCCAATGGACACTTTTGCAAAGGCCAATCAGCACAAAGACATTCTCAGAAAGCCTAATGCATAGTAATTATTCTAAGGTCAACTTAACTCTTGTCTGTCAAAATGCAAAATGTCTCAATGTGTATATTTAAAAAGTCTTAGTCAGGAGTTCTAATTCAGTAAGCGGTCCTAGGGCCACTTCATGCTGAGCGTGACACAGGATGCTCAGAACAAGCAGGAGATAGGAAAGAAGTATGTCGTCTCCAGGAGCCAATAATTTAGTTACTTAAAATACACTTACCCAACTTTAAGGACTGAATTTTGGAAACATTAGAAAACTGAAAACAAAACAAAAACAAATCCTTACCTTTGTATAATAATTAACCCTCATCCCCCAAAGCACTATTTAACCTTAGAAGTTTGCTGTAGAAAGGGGTGGGAAGTGTTCTTGCTCATCTTTAGGGTCTGGTTCAGGATCTCTGTTATGAAGGGGAGAAATGCCTTTTACATTTTTACTTCTTTTTAATATTTCATCCAAATAATTCATTCACTCAGAAATGAATGTATACACAGAAGATCTTTTTTGCTTTGCTTTAATAACCCATGATTACTTAAAATCTAATGAATTAATGTCAGTCTGACTCCAGTTTAAAATGACAACACAGGGGCACCTGGGTGGCTCAGTGGGTTAAAGCCTCTGCCTTTGGCTCAGGTCATGATCCCAGGGTCCTGGGATCTAGCCCCGCATGGAGCTCTCTGCTCAGGGGGAAGCCTGCTTCTCTTCCTCTCTCTCTGCCTGCCTCTTTGCCTACTTGTGATCTCTGTCTGTTAAATAAATTAAAAAAAAAAAAAAAACTTTATAAAAAATAATAAAATAAAATAAAATGACAACACAGTAAAGTACTGTCTCCAACTATAGGTATTAGGCTTCTAGAAATGATGGGGGAAAAAAGGCCATGGAACCACTTACAGGCATTTAACAAAACAGATCAAATCTTGTTACTCTTTTGCTAAGGACAGTTTCTCAAACTGTTTATCAAATAGTATTTTTCAATTTTTCATATCTATCCCCTTCTATAAATCACCCTCCCAACACACCAAAAACGTGTGATCTTGAATCTTTAAGTCTCACTCTTTCGTGCTGCATGCATCAGTGAATCCTCCTGTTAGAATGAGAAATCCACGCTACTCAATTATTTTCAGTCAATAAGCTTAGAGTCAGAAATCTGAATTAAAAAAAAGTTCAAAACATATTATAATTTGAAATTAACCAAATCTTGTGGCTAAAGAACAGTGATCCCCAGAGCATTGTCCAGAGAGACATTCTGCACTCCGTTGGTTTTTCTTTCTCATCATATCATATGCTCACTAATAGTCATACACAAACAGGAAAAATCAAGGGCAGAATAAATAATATGCTTTTAACCTAAGAAGAACTTTACATAAAATTATAAACTGTCACATATGGAATCATCTCAACACCAGTAACATATAGTCAAGAAGTCTTCAGATTATCTGAGATTTAAAATGAACACCAATTTAAAATCTTTTGAGACAAGTTCAAAGTCACAAATACCGAACTATATATTGCTAATGATTTTCTCCCTTATAAAAACATGCTCTTACTCCTAAATGATACAGGAAACCAATCTCTTTCACCGACAAATTAAAGAGGATCCAAATCTTGGAAGAAGGCAAAACATCCATACTTTAATACCACAAACTCATTCACTCCTAATGAGATTCTATCCTTTATGATACCTCAGCAGAAGACCCAGAAATAGTTGGGATTCCAAGTACATCTGAATTTCAGCAGTTTTGATATTTTTTTCTATCCCATTTACTTGATTATTAACTGATTCTCAACCAAACTCTTTCAAAAGATCTTTTAATAAAGGCTCTGAAAGAACTTCATTGCCAATATTATTACTAATTATTATTATTACATGGGGTAAATAAAGTAGTGACAGCAAGCGTTCTATTTCACAAAATCAATCAGGGACAGAGACTAAGAAATACTCTAAGACTCTGACTCAGAGCAATCCACTTTATCACAAATAAGGATAAACACAATCTTTTCCAAGCCTCACTATACTCCATACCCATTTTTTTTTTTCCTCCTAAAATCATTTACATAGGGTCTCATCAGCTATGTGGATTAATAGACTCTCCCGTGATATAGTAAAGATAAACTCAGATCCTTACCATGGCTAAGTTTAGTGGCTACTGTTGCTTTTTCTTTATACCAAGCTCTCTGCTGCTACTAATACATGATCTGCTTGGGGACAATCTAAAGGCAGATGTTTTTCTAAGATCTGTCCATCTGTATATTTCTCTGGTGTCTACAAATGTGGCAGGGGGTGCTGGAGGGGAGTAAGTACACTGATAAGTCTTTTAGGCTTATCAGTAGTAGCACTCGGTAGGACAGAACTTTAATCTATGAAAAGAATTCCTTCTGGCCATTTCTTTTCAAAAAGGAATTTTGCGTGTGTTACAAAAACAAAATCCAAAAATCCTAAATAAATGAGAAAAGCCTGAAAACAAAACAAACAAAAAAAAACCAAGAAGGTAATTACCCCATTGTATTGATCTTACTTTAAAAAAAGAAAATCCAGATTATTTTTGCCCAGATCCTGAAATACACAATTGTCACAATGAAAGCATATCAGAGCAAAATGTGCTGCAATATGCTACTATGATTAAAAGCCATGTAATCTGAAAGACCTCTGTAACAAAAAGAAAATGAGTAGGAAAAAGCTATTTACATACTTTTCTAAAAAGAAAGGCTGCTATTTTGTGATAGTTACACAAAGGGAGGTGTGACTTTCACCTTTACCTTAAAGCATATTTTCATCCACAGGTATTTAATAACATTCAAAGAAACTGCACATCGCTTAATACCAAGAATAAACTATGATTTTATGACACTATTACATGTGTTTTAAGCCTAAACACATCACAGCACATACCAAGGGTAATCGTTTGGCACACACTCCCTGAACAGAAAAGATCCTCACAGTTTTTCTTGTACTTTAGTTTTTTAAAATGTACAATTATTATCAGACCCAAATGAGAAAATAAGGGGCAGCAATCAAGTACACCATATGTTTTCACTGGAGGCTGAGTCCTGGTCTTTGTTCCAATATTCTAGAGCCTCTGGAAGGAATGCTAAGTATCCATCCATTAAAACGTTTTTACATTATTGCTGGCAAAGTTATACTTCTGATAGGTCTAGTCATCTTGATTATTCCTGCCTGCATTTGCTTCCTTAGTACCAATCTCTTTCAATTTTAGGAACCTGCAGTAAACCATCCTGGAAAACAGGTCGGTAGCAGGACAATCTGATAAAACAACGTACAGGGTAGACACTGAAGAAGAATGCAAAGTTATTTTCCTAGTAAAAGAGTTCTGAAGTAATTCTATATCAATGACAAAATTTGGGGGTTTTTTTACCAGCTACGCACCAATCCAGATATCATCCTCCTTATCCTCAATTAGCAGGGTTTCCCTCAACCTTAAGATCTCCCAGAACAGTTTTAATGGTATAACTCACACCAAAAACACCAACCACGCCCTTAATACTCAGAACCAAGCCACCTTTTGCTTTTTCTCCCCACTACAAAGTCCAAAATGTACATCTTTCATCTAAAAGGATTCGCATCAGTTCCCTAACCCGAGTCAGGGGCTCTTAGCTGTGCCTTGATACAATTCCTATTGGAAGACGCTTTTCTCCTGGGCAGTGTGAGGACGCCCAGAAGAGGCACCCACGCTTACCTCCCACACACCTGCAACCCCTGGCGGGATGCTGGAGCTGATGCTCGGAGGACTGCGCTCCGCTCCGCTCGTGCTCCAGCTCTCCTCTCTCCCGGGAAACTAGAGTCCAGACTGCGCCTCCGGCTGCCACAGGGACCCAAGCTCCGCCTCCCCCTCCTCTAGTTGGAGAATTCGGCAGCTGTTGCTCCTCCCCCTGCTGTTCCTGCTGCTGCCCCGGCTGGTGGCGGCGGGAAGCTGCTGCCCTAGTACCTTCCCGCTCCCTGCACTTCTGCAGTTGTTCTGCCGCTTCCCTTCCCCTGGGAACTCCTCTCTTCTCAGTCAGTGGCCCCACACCTGCAGCTGCCTCCTATCACGCCCGCGCGCCGCCTCCAGAAACCCAGGCTCACACTATCCCTTCCTGACGACCCTCAGGTCTGGCCGCCTGGTGTGCCTGGGGCTGGTCCACTTTCAGGGAAGCTGCTCCTCCGGCCAGGACGCATCCCCACACCGCTCCCTCTCTCTACGCCAGCGATTCCCCCGATGCTTCCGCCCTCTGGTGCAGCGTCCACAGCTCTGCCGCCCCACGTTAACCGCCTCAAGCTCTCCCCCCAACCCCCTTACTTCCTCTGCTCTGCTAGCCCGCCCCCACAATGGGTGAGTCGCCTGCAGGGCCGACCCGGCACCCTGATTGGTGCAGGTGAGAGCTGACTCCTCCCTTCCTCCTCCTTTTGAACACCCTCTCTCTCGGTCTCACCTCCTCCCGCAAAGGCGGGGAACTCTCTTGCTATTGGCTAGAAGTGTCCCCACCCATCGCCTTAGGCTCTACCGCATGACCTGCCGGGAATTGTAGTCTTGCTTTTGCAGAAATTGCCGACGAAGCTGGCGAGTGGGACTACGAGTCCCCATAGGCCCCTGCGCGACTCCGGCTGGGCAGGATTCCGGACAACGCCTGGTTCCTCTCGGGTCCTTCCGGCGTCGCCGGAGTGAATTGATCCGGGAGTTGAAGAGGGCTCCAAAGGTGGGAAGTGAAGTCAGTGCCCCAGTTGCCGGTAAGGTGTGGCTCTTCTACCTCAGTCTCTGTAGCCCCCAGCGGAACAGAGGAGGTCTGGGGTCACACAGGGGCCGTGGCCGAGGCACTCGGGCTTGGCTCTGGCAGGCGGAGCGGACGGGGCTGGGAACGGGGCCCTATGGGCGTAAGCGAGGTTACCCTACGCGAGTGGCGTAAAGCGGGTTTGTAAATGCTGCCTACCCTGCTCGGGCCTGAACGCCTCCAGGAAGTCTCGTCTAGGTGGGGGCGGGAGGGGAAGGGCGAGGTTGGCCTCTGGTGCCCCTGGAGAAGGGAGAGGGCGGATGTGTCTGGGGTGGGGTCCTCTGAAGGTGTGGCTTGGGGCGGGGAGATGTGGCTGCTGTTTTCCCCCTGCTTTAGAAGTAGGATAGGGGAGAAGTGGAGGAGGAAAGGGGCGCTTGGGAGTCTGCTCTTAGGGTGACTCAGGTTATGCCCTTTGAAAGAAGAGGAGAACTGTAAAAGAAGAGTCATATGTTGACAGAGAGCTACGGATTCAGTTCCAGTTTCATGATGTGGCCCTTCTAAGGAGGTAATTTTGCCTCTAAGCAGAAAACCTTCACCCTCTTAGGTGTAATTCCAAAGGTATCTTTACACCCGTTCTGTTTTCAAAGACACAGTTTTCAGATGCTGATGTTAGAAACTGAGGGGATAAGTGAAGTGCCCAAGGTCACACACGTAGGGACTGATCTGAATCTAATCCAGTTGTAATCCAGTTTCTGAATCAGGGCTGCCGCACCAGAAAGAGAGAGTAGGGAGGTTGGTGGTTTTTTGAAGTGAGTGGGGGAAGTTGCAAAGTAAGGCATTTTATGTATTTCTGAGAAGCTCTTTGTGAGGTGAAGAGTTTTTTGAGTTGGAGAAAATCCTCAGTAGAACAAGGACACACTCTTTTTGGAAAAATAAGAATGAGTGTTCAGCCTACTTACTACGGGTATCTTAAGTGACGGACTGTACCACCATTTCAAACGCTAGATAATGACATGTAAAAAAAATATATCCCATCTTTACCTTTTAGAAGTTACTCCTTTTCCTACCTACCTTAGGACTGAAGGTTTTTACTTTGATTTTGTAAAACTGACGACAGTAGTGTAGGAATTCTTTTACAAAACTTACTTTATACGGTTTTTTTTTTTTTTTAAAGATTTTATTTATTTATTTGACAGACAGAGATCACAAGTAGGCAGAGAGGCAGGCAGAGAGAGGAGGAAGCAGGCTCCCCGCCGAGCAGGGAGCCCGATGCGGGGCTCGATCCCAGGACTCTGGGATCATGACCTGAGCTGAAGGCAGAGGCTTTAACCCACTGAGCCACCCAGGCGCCCCACTTTATACGTTTTTTAATTAATAATAGCATCAAGAGAGTTTAGTGTGCTCCTTACTAGAAAAGAAGTTACCTTGCATTTCTTGGAATTAACATCACATTTTTGTTGATTTCTCTTTACTTTTCCCCTCATTATCTTGACTCCAGTGTATGTGTATGTCTGTATAAAATCATCAAGTGCTTACTTATTTTATTTTTCCTAGCATTATAAATGACTTTTAATTCATCCTATTTATACTGAAGGATGGGAAAATTGGACATTTATATTTTATATTGAGCACGAAGCAGTATCCTTGTACTGGTCTTATCCTTTATAATTGTTTGTGTGGCCATTTATAGCTCATGAATATTACTAAAACTTTAATCGAATTTTAGGTGTGTGTTTTTTGACATCAGAGTTTCTTCTGTGATGTTTATGTGCAATAATTCAGTATCTACTGATAGCTAGCAGTTAATCCTGGTTTACTGTTGTAAGTTGACCATTGAAATACTCCGCTTTTTGAGTATTCTGCGAATATTAACAGTGTCTAACTTTTGAATACAAAAATGCTTTCTAGGATCATATATTGTGTATTGTTCCTGTATGATTGAAGTTAAGATGGTCTGGAAATTAATATAACCTTTTTTTTTTTTAAGATTTTATTTTTATTTATTTGTCAAAGAGAGAGGGCACAAGCAAGCAGAGTGGTAGGCAGAGGCAGAGAGAGAAGCAGGCTTCCTGCTGAGCAAGGAGCCAGATTCGATCAATCCCAGAACTCTGGGATCATGACCTGAGTTGAAGGCAGCTGCTTAACTAACAGGCACCCAGGCGTCCCAAGGAAATTAATATAACCTTTAACATAGAATAGAGATACGATATTACAGAATGAAGTAGGAAGTATTGGAGTAACATAGCGCCATGAGTAATGCAATACACAAGGAAGAAAGACCACCTAAACAAAATTATGTGGGGATAACTGGCTCTATGCTATATTACAAGAGAAAATGGTAGTTTACATAGAGTGTAAGTAAACTGAACATGAGTTAGTGATAGTAAAGCAAGAGTATTAATGGGTTTTCTAGGTCGCAGTGTAGGCATTTCCTTTTTGTTGGGGGAAGTATCAAGGGAGTTCTCTAACTTTTGGAATGCAGCTATGAGGTTGTGGAATGAGCTTTTGAATTAAAAGTCAGGAAAATTTGGAAACAAGTAAAATTAATTTAATGTACATGTTCAGTGTGTGTTAGTTTTTGTCCTGGATTTAGTTCTGTCATTACTCTTCATCTCTTAGGCTAGTTATAGTTTTGATATATCATCTATTTGCAGTGATGGAGTAAGGTTTTTATTATATTTATCATCTTTCAGTCACATGCTGGTGTACTGTGGTCACTTTGGATCTCTGCACATTGAAGAATTTAGGGTTCCCAGAGTTTTGTGTATACTTGTATTTTTATAACATTTTGCAGTTCACCAGTATCCACATTTGTTCTCATTTTTGGTTTTGCAGGAGCCTTGTGTCACTTTTGGACTTCATCTCTTACAGGACTTAAGATGTCTCCCATATACATCTGTTGTTGAGGGTAGAAGGTCATGAGAACAGGACTCTGTATTATCATTGCATTCCCAGTAGGTAAAATAATTGAGTACCTGTTTACACAGAGAACGAAGAAGTTCTTATTAGTTAAGTGTAAAGTCATGAAACTAGTGATTGGTGGGATTAAGGTATAAGCCAGGTCTTCTGGTTATAGATATTACTATTATAGAATAAAGACTGGGTTCCTAAAATAATTTATTTTATATGAGAAGAGGACTTAAAATGACTTAAATATTCAAATTCTCTTCCCCTCATACTCTTTCTTTAATGCTGACAGTTCATCCTTTGCCTCCCTTCCAGCTCTCTGTACTTATTCCCAACCTTTCTTATTTACTGCACCTTTCAGTTACTACATACATAAGTTCCTTCCTGACTTAGGAACCTTTGTACATATTCCATCTCCTGTGGGACTGTTCTCCCCCCCCCTTTCCTAAATCTGGCAAAACACATAGTTAATTTGCAGATTTCAGTTTTAATGTCATTCCTCAGAGGAACCTTACCTGACCTTCTTAGACCCTTCTTCCTAAAACTAGAACTTACTATAGTAAGTTCCCAGTGTATCTTCACCTTCATTTTGTAGCATCATCACAATAGGAACTTAATTATTTCTTTACTTATTTGATAAATGTCTGACTCCCTCACTAGACTATAAGCTACCTAGGTAGGACTCTCTCATTTGTCATGTGACTGGCACACTTACTACTTACGCAGTATCTGGCACAAGTAAGTTTTCAGTAAATACTTGCTGAATGAGTGAGTAAATGATTGAATGAGTGCGTTCATGCACAGTGCCTCCAGCACTCTGCTAGGGACAGAAGTATAGAAATAAGTAAAATAGATTTGCTTTCCACCTTTAGATGAAAGGACTTACGACAGAGGTTTTATAATATAAATAGTAGAAAGATGTTTGTTCTTTTTGGAGGTTTCTAAAAGCAGGAGAGATTGTTTTCTGTAGGGAAATGACAAAGGAGTCATTTTCTGTTACAGCAAACTTTGTGTATAACAAAACATTTTGGAGACCTTATCTCTGTCTTGCTTTTTGCAAGCAGCATTCATTATAACAAAATACAGATGTGGAGGAAATAAACTTTTAATGGATTCTGTGCTTCCCTAATGTGATCTCATTTTGTCCTGAACAGAATCCATGCTTTTCTTTTTTCTTTGTTGTTTCATTCTGTTTTTTAACCACGGTATCTTCTTTTGAATTTTACTTTTAGTATCATCTGCTTTAGACAAGGTGACTTTGTAAAAATGGAGTCATGCTTGTTTCAAAGGAGCTTATATTTTGAGCTTCTTGGAAAGTTTCATATTTCACTGGGTCCTATTTGCTTTAAACTTAGATACTTATGAAAGTTAAATGATCATTATTTTAAAAATATGCAAACCCATTTTCAGGGATAAATTTGTGTTAGACTTTGGTTGTAAAAACAAATTCAATAATCCTTTGTGGTACTATAATAATTGCATAGAATAAATTGAACAGCTCCCGAGTTGCTGTAACCTTAAATGCTTTCATGAATTTACCAATTCCCATTCCTAAGAGAGATTGTCAAAAAAATTATTGCTAGTATTTGGCTTTAAAATTTGATAATGCTTCCAGGTTTTATTAATAAATGTAAGTCTTTAATAAGTCCTAAACTTACTTTTTTTTTTAAAGTCTGTTTTTATGTTTTTTAAAAAAATTTTTATGGTATTTTTTTAGCCAAGAAATTTATATTTACCTAGTTTAACCAATATGTGGAGAATAAAGCTGAAATGTTTTTGGGTTATCAGGGTCATTAAAATAGGTAATGTTACTTCAAGTTTTCAGCTTATTTCATGGTAAAATAAACTGTAAATATTTACCATGAAATATATAATCTCCTGTAAAGGAGATTTAGAAGTAAGTATGAATTTTTTGGTATATATTACTTCATTTGGAATGTATAGAAAGTGGCAGTCTTAGATACTGATTTTTGGGGGGCACACACAGTGTAACCAATGAAAACAACTTTATTGTAGTATTTAGAAATAATTTATTTGCAGAAAGGTCCATTTTTGTAGGAAAATGAAAAATTCAGTTTTTAAATTTTATCTACAAAATTAATTGCATCTTTG